ATATTCATCTGTTCTATACATAGATATAGATTTGTAGTAAGTCTTGCTCAAAGCTGACAACTTGTATAGCTCACAGAAAAACAAAAAAATGACAAAAACAAAATTTAAAATTTACTTCTACCAAGTTTTATTTGCAACTTGTATAATTAATGTTTTCATAAAAAAATATGCTGATGTTTCTCTAATCAACTGTGAAAACATAAATTTAGTTAATAATTCAAAATCAAATACTATCCAGATTAATTCATTCAAGTTGTAGAACTGGTTTTTGTTAAAATATTTTTCATTTCTTAATACTCAATTTATTTTTCAATTTGAATTTAGATTTGAATAAAAATATATACTGAGTAGTGAAGTTTCAATTATATCTGTTATTGAATCTGTTTTGTAATTAATGTAAAACAAAATTCTAATTTACAAAATAAGTAATATTATATCATTTGAATTTTTATTTTCAATCATATTTAATCTAAAATCCATTAAAGAAAATAAAAAAATCCAAAGTTCAAGTAAAAATGGTAAAAAGGCTAGTTATGGTTTAATACTAACACAAATGAAAATAGCCTCGATGCTATTATGAACTTTAAAGAACAGGTATGACTGTACAAAAAATTATCCATCGTAACGTCACTCGTGTTGAGCTACCCTCACCAACAAAACATAATATAAATATACAATGTTCGTAAATTAATTATGATATTTGGTAATTTAATAATGGTCTAAAATACATGATAAACATAAAAATGTTTTATTTGATTTATTGTTATTTTGCTTTTAACTATAAAAGAGTAGACTAAAATCTCTGACTTGGGCCTACATGGTTCCTCACGTTTTGTATCTGTTAAGATGAACAACACTGCTATGACTACACTGTCCAATAAACAGCACTAAGACCATCTGTCTCTAATGAAGTTAATATGTATACTTAAAAGTCAGAACTTGCTTTGCTGTGTTCTACTATGACATCCTCCCAGCATGGAAAGGGTTAAGATGCATATTGCTTTATCATTGCATCCAGATTTCATTTTTTATGCAACACACAAACACAGGACAAGATTTTACTATCCAACTGATATATTTTGCATTAATGTGACAAATGATGAAAATTTATAAGAAATCAACCAATACCTTTCAGTGCTTCTACTGCAGAGCTAACCATCCACCCTCAGTAAAAGGAAAGTTTAAAAAAGTTTAGAGTGAGAAAAAAGAAAATCTGTTATGACCAAAGTATAAAACAAAAAAAAATCTATCTATTCAACCACACCTTTCAAGTTAATGGTTAATTGGAGCAGTTTGTCAAGAAGTCACTGAAACTTTAAAAACTACCAAAGAAAACCTTTAACCACCATCTCTAGAGTTGAGCAATTAACTCAATTAATCAATTACTTATGAGCATTACATTAATTAGTGTCACTTGAAGTAATCAGCTAATCAAGATATTGCAACCAATATTTTTAATTTTCAATTCATTAAAATTTTTTATTCAGCTTAATTAACTAGTGTCACAACTCATGAAAATATTCAACTAATCAAAACTAGGGTTTCCATAATTGAAATATTGCCATTATGTTTGTTTGTTGTTAGGTGCTAAAGATACATAATGGTCTCTGTCCACTGTAGTTAATTTTTTTTTCTTAGCCATCTCATGTGAATAATCAGTCAATGTCATTGATTAATGAGCCAGACAACTAATTGATTAGCAAATTCCACTAATTGCCCAGCTTTAACCATTTTTCAATCATTTGTACTTAACCTAAGCTAAAAGCTCAGGAGAAATTATAAGAAAGTTAAAAATAGAATTTGTTTCAAAAACAGCAAGATTATAATAATAAAATTCAACATTTCAGTTAAGAATATAAAATGACTTGGAGACAGAAGGATATTTTGTCCATCAAAGTAACTCAACAAAGAAACCAGCTCAACCTAAAAATAAGCTCTCAAATCCATAAAATTATCTAACAAAAAAATTAAAGAAATTCAAGCAACCAACACACACTACATTATCTGGTAAACCATTTCACAAGTTAATAACTCTAGTACAGAAAACATTTTCCCTAATAACCACCTTAGAAAGTGGGCTTCTATAACTTACAAGTATTTCTTCTAGCATTCAGGACTTCAAGTCCAACCTTATCTTTTCACCATACAACACACCTTCCTTGGACAGTTTAACCGAGCCTCTTCACAATTTTAGGTACCCCAAACATGTACGTCAGTAAAATCTGTGAGCTTCTCTGCATACCTAAGACGTTTCACACCAGGAATCATTTAGGTACCTCATCTTTGAATTTTTTCAAAAAAATCAGAATCATTTCTGTAATAGGCAGACCAAACCTCAACAATTATCCAATTGTGGTCTCACCAGAGATACCATTTTCTACAAATTAGGTAACTCAGCAAAACTGTATAAATCCTTCTGCATTAAGAGAATATTTTCTAAATGATCAGCCTCACCAAAAAGTTTGCCAGTAAATTTGTCCACACTTAACAACCTAACAGTTACTTAAGTGATGAAGGATAATTCAATGAGAGATATTTTAACCTTAAGCTGTGGTTTAAATATGCTAACCAATGGGAAAATAAATTCTATATATTATGCTTAAGGTTTAAAATGATTTCATTTATAATAAACAAGATTACAACACTTATGATATACAACATTGTTTATTGACAAAAGGGGGTTGGTTGG